ATAACAATAATAACCACGAGGTTGTTTATAACAATAATAACCACGAGGTTGTTTATAACAATAATAACCACGGGTTGTGGAGGTTCAGAGCTCGTAAACTGTGGAATAAATGTAAACACAGCCGCCATGATGGTAGAAAGATATACAGGTTTCGCAAGTTGTTGGGGGTAAGTGCCTGAGGACTGGTGGCCCTGGTGCCGTGTTGGTGGTGGGAGGCAGCTGCTGTCTCCCCTGTCCCTGTGCTGACACGTGCCCTGGGGGTGCGTACCCTGGGGGCGCGTACCCTGGGGGCGCGTACCCTGGGGGCGCGTACCCTGGGGTGCGTACCCTGGGGGTGCGTACCCTGGGGGCGCGTACCCTGGGGGCGCGTACCCTGGGGGCGCGTACCCTGGGGGCACGTACCCTGGGGGTGCGTACCCTGGGGGTGCGTACCCTGGGGGCGCGTACCCTGGGGCACGTACCCTGGGGGCACGTACCCTGGGGGTGCGTACCCTGGGGCACGTACCCTGGGGCCGCGTACCCTGGGGGCGCGTACCCTGGGGGCGCGTACCCTGGAGCACGTGCCCTGGGGGCGCGTACCCTGGAGTACGTGCCCCTCAAGGGGGCACGAACCCCTCAAGGGGGCACGATGCCCCCTGGTCCCCAGCAAGCACAACTAGGTGAGTACAGACGGGCACCACCACCACCGAGGGGGCACGGAGCCGCTTGGGCATGTTGGTGTGGGCATGGAGGAGGTGGGTAGTGAGGTGGTGCTCCTTGTACCATAACTACCAGTACAGTAATTACTGCATGTTGGGCCTTAATTGACAACTTCGCAGATCGAAATTAACTGAGAAAATTATATCGGGAAAATACAAGTTGAATTGTGTTGAAGTTTAATGACCATCGAACGACAACCATCTTTAGTGACTAGAGGCGTCGTCGTCAACAACCATTCTTTACCACACTATATGTGGGGGCCCCACACCCCAGGACCACGGGGCCCCCGTGTTCCTGGGGTGTGGGACCCGTGTTCCAGGTGGCCAGGTGGGTGTGGCCCACCTGTAAGGTCTGGCCAGGTGGGTGTGGCCCACCTGTAAGGTCTGGCCAGGTAAGTGTGGCCCACCTGTAATGTCTGGCCAGGTGGGTGTGGCCCACTTGTAAGGTCTGGCCAGGTGGGTGTGGCCCACCTGTAAGGTCTGGCCAGGTGGGTGTGGCCCACCTGTAAGGTCTGGCCAGGTGGGTGTGGCCCACCTGTAATGTCTGGATAGGTGGGTGTGGCCCACCTGTAAGGTCTGGCCAGGTGGGTGTGGCCCACCTGTAAGGTCTGGCCAGGTGGGTGTGGCCCACCTGTAAGGTCTGGCCAGGTGGGTGTGGCCCACCTGTAAGGTCTGGCCAGCTGGGTGTGGCCCACCTGTAAGGTCTGGCCAGCTGGGTGTGGCCCACCTGTAAGGTCTGGCCAGGTGGGTGTGGCCCACCTGTAAGGTCTGGCCAGGTGGGTGTGGCCCACCTGTAAGGTCTGGCCAGGTGGGTGTGGCCCACCTAGAAGGTCACACGAAAACAATTTCACCAGAACCAACAACACCACAAACTTATAATTATCTTCGACCTCCTCAAAGTTTAATACTAATTAAATAAAAAAACAGCATAGTTACACCTGTCACAAACAACAAACAAACTGTACCTAAATGTCTTTGTTCGCAAAACAAGAACAAAGCAAGAAAATAGTCAACATTTTTACGAGCAGTTCTCCCTGGACAGGTCAGTCGTGTGCCTAACTTCATATATTATGCCTGGGATCAAATTTTATGTAAACACATAATGGCTTAATGGAGTTACTGGATCAGTTTTTGTGGGATATAAGGATTTTTTTGGGGTATATAATATGCGTGTAAGTTATTTGTTATATCTGACGGGTTTTTGTTCGAGTATGTGGTATATTCTTGGTACTTTTAGTGTTGTGAGCAGCGGGGTGTGGTATTACACACCAGGGATGGTCACACACCAGGGGTGGTCACACACCAGGGGTGGTCACACACCAGGGGTGGTCACACACCAGGGGTGGTCACACACCAGGGGTGGTCACACACCAGGGGTGGTCACACACCAGGGGTGGTCACACACCAGGGGTGGTCACACACCATGGGTGGTCACACACCAGGGGTGGTCACACACCATGGGTGGTCACACACCAGGGGTGGTCACACACCATGGGTGGTCACACACCAGGGGTGGTCACATACCATGGGTGGTCACACACCAGGGGTGGTCACACACCAGGGGTGGTCACACACCAGGGGTGGTCACATACCATGGGTGGTCACATACCATGGGTGGTCACACACCAGGGGTGGTCACACACCAGGGGTGGTCACACACCATGGGTGGTCACACACCAGGGGTGGTCACACACCATGGGTGGTCACACACCAGGGGTGGTCACACACCAGGGGTGGTCACACACCAGGGGTGGTCACATACCATGGGTGGTCACACACCAGGGGTGGTCACACACCAGGGGTGGTCACACACCATGGGTGGTCACACACCAGGGGTGGTCACACACCAGGGGTGGTCACACACCAGGGGTGGTCACACACCAGGGGTGGTCACACACCAGGGGTGGTCACACACCAGGGGTGGTCAAAAATGTATTACAACTTTTGATACGGAAAAAAATATTCTCATAGAAAAGTTTTTGAAAAATTCGTACAGAAGAAAGATTGTTACGAAAAAGTTTTGAAAGATTGATACTGAAAGATAAGATCAAACATATATATATATTATATATTGTCAACGACAATTCCGTGGAAATAATAAAACATTTCACACACCTGGGTACTAGGAGACTCGAACCGCTGACCACACGCGAGGGAGGCCAAAGGCCATCGACCACACTATGATACCGCCCTAATAAGGAAACATTCCAGAGGCAACTAACTGCTGCCCAACTGGAATTTTATTCTTTCCCTGTCTGCTATTACTGGTAGGCAGGAGGCCTGATCGACGACCGGGCCGCGGGGACACTAAGCCCCGGAAGCACCTCAAGGAAGCACCTCAAGGTAGGCATCCTTCAGTCTCGGGAGACTATGGAGTAGCGCTCTGGTTGTCAGTCCTGGAGCAGCGTCTGGTGTGTCTGATGAGGCCAATCCCAGAGTGGCAGTCCATCTCACACCGAGCACAAACGATGTCCGATTCTGGTCTGTCTTCCTGGCTACCGGCTTTCCTTCTCTGTCTCTTTGCCTCCGATTCCTTGGCAAGTGACTCCTCGAACTTGGAGAGACTGAACAGACTGCCTCCAGGCTGAACGGTCTGCAGCCAGTGTTTCTCACGTGGCAAGATCGACGTCCATGGCTTTCAGGTCCCTCTTGCATTCGTCTTTGTACCGTAGCTGGGGCTTGCCTGCTGGACACTTTCCCTGCATCAGCTCTCCGTACAGGAGATCCTTGGGGATCCTGCCGTCGCCCATTCGCACAACGTGTCCGAGCCAGCGCATTCGTCTCTGTTTCAGCATTGTGTACATGCTGGTGATTCTTGCTCTCCCCAAGACGTTGTTGTTTGTCACCTTGTCCTGCCAAGTGATGTCCAAGATGTGTCGGAGGCAACGCATGAGGCAGGCGTTGTGTACTCGGTCAGCTTATTGTTGGTACACATTCTCTTTGTCAGTCTGGACATTGAGAAGCCATTGGACACATGGTAGTAGATGCCTTACCGATGTGTTTGTTGAGCTCCGTGTCAAGAGCGAGGGAGTCAGAGAGTGTGGAGCCCAGGTACACCAAGTCGTGAAGGGAAGGGAACTATCAAGGGGGAAAACATCAAGTCATTGACTACATAGCACTTGGAAGGGGTAAGGATAAGGATTTAGGGTGGGACGGGGGGAGAGAATGGTGCCCAACCACTTGGACGGTCGGGGATTGAACGCCGACCTGCATGAAGCGAGACCGTCGCTCTACCGTCCACCCCAAGTGGTTGAGGTGATAGAGTGAACCACTTCCAGTTTGGAATCAGAGATGCCGATGTCAGGTGGGGAGTCCACTCACTGTGGACTCTTTTCTTCAGGCTGATGGTGAGTCCGTAGGCCTAACAGGCCTCGCTGAAGCAGGTCATGAGCTGTTGGAGGTCTTTGGCTGAGTGGGCGGTGACTGCTGCGTCGTCGGCACACACTTCTAACTAACTAACACACTTCGTAGCAATCTAGTTCACACTGCTCCTCCTGCTTCTAATGCTGCTGGTGTCTACTCTATTTCCTGTTCATCTTGTCCTCTCCAATACTTTGGCGAAACTGGCCGTACACTGAATGACAGACTTAAAGAACACAAGAGAAGTGTTAAGTCTGCAGACACTAACAATGCTCTCTTCTGCCATGTGAGGGATTCTAATCATCCCATTGATTGGTCTTCCTCCAAAATAATCTTTCCTGCCTCTACTCTTGTAGAATCGGCTCTTATAAACAATGTACCCAACATGAACTTGAGTCCTGGCTTTGTTGCTGTGGACTCTTCCCTTTCACAGTATATACTCAAATGCTCTAATCTTTCTAACAAACGTGACTTAACATAAGCTTTCCCCCTTCCATTTCTTTCTTTCTCTTTCCTTTTCTTTCTCTCTTCTCCCTTTTTCTGTTCATTGTCTTCTCCTACGCTCCCTTGCTATCCTCTTCTTTTTCCTATTTCTATCTCCTTCGGTGGTTATAATAGGAGCTGCCTCGTATGGGCCAATAGGCCTGCTGCAGTTCTCATTACTACTATCCCCTAAACCTGACTTTCCTCCTCAGCTCTCTCTTGCCTATTTATTGCCTGTCCCTACCTCCTCATCACAATCGACTTGAGAATGGTCCAGGACGGACCGAAACGTCGTCGTCCCTTCAATTTCTAGTGTGTGGTCTGGTCAACATACTTCAGCCACGTTATTGTGACTCATCGCCTGCAAAATTACTCCTGTCCAATTTCGTTATCTTATCTACTTTCCAAATTATGAATAATAGAGTTTACCTCCACAACTTGTTCCTTTAATTCATCCCATTATCTCATTACTCGTATGGTAAATAAAATCTTTCTAGTATCTCTATGATTACTCTGAGTCTCGAGCTTCCTCCCATGTCTCCTTCTTCTATTGACATTCAATTTGAACATTTCCTCTATTTCCAGTCTGTCAATCCCCCTAAGTATTTGATATATCTTTATCATGTCTCCCCGCCCCCTCCTGTTTTTTCCAAGCGTCGTCAGGTTAAATTCTTTCAGTCGCTCTTCATATCCCATCCCTCGCAATTCTGGTACGAGCTTTGTCGCAAACTTCTGAACCTTTTCCAGGTTCTTTTTGTGTTTCTTGAGGTGAGACTCCATGATGACATGCTCTCAAACAGGTCTCTCACAGGCAGTGTAAAGCGTCCTAAATGCCTCCTTATTTAGCTTCCTGAATGATGTTCTAATTTGTGTTGGTGTAGAGTACGCTGCTGATGCTGTCCTGTTTATGAGGGTCTGGAGTGAGGCGTGGTGGTACCCCCACTAACTGCTCTCTCTCTCTCTCAAAACTCTTGACCCTGAACCTGCTCTGCATGTTGATGAGTCCGTCACTCATCTTGCTTTATTGGACCAACATGTTTACAACGGAACTATCTATACTGTGTAGATAGGTGTCTAAGATTAGTTAAGGTGTAGATAGGTGTCTAAGATTAGTTAAGGTGTAGATAGGTGCCTAAGATTAGTTAAGGTGTAGATACGTGTCTAAGATTAGTTAAGGTGTAGATAGGTGCCTAAGATTAGTTAAGGTGTAGATAGGTGTCTAAGATTAGTTAAGGTGTAGATAGGTGTCTAAGATTAGTTAAGGTGTAGATAGGTGTCTAAGATTAGTTAAGGTGTAGATAGGTGTCTAAGATTAGTTACAGTGTAGATAGGTGTCTAAGATTAGTTACGGTGTATTTTATCTTGAAGTTATCTTGAGATGATTTCGGGGCTTAGCGTCCCCGCGGCCCGGTCCTCAACCAGGCCTCCTTTTTGTTACACACCCCCAGGAAGCAGACCGTAGCAGCTGTCTAACTCCCAGGTGCCTATTTACTGCTAGGTGAACAGGCCATCAGGGGTGAAAGAAACTCTGCCCATATGTTTCCGCCTTCACCGGGGATCGAACCCGGAACCTCATGACTACGAATGCGAAGCGTTGTCTACTCAGCTGTCAGCCCCCCCCCCCCCCACCCTGTCTACTCCTGTAGATAGGTGTTTAAACTTAGTTACGGTGTAGGAAGGGAGGGGGGAGGTGGAGACCATCTGGGGGGGCAGGGGGGCGCCAGGGGTGCAGGCAGGGGGGGGCAGGCAGGTTGGTGGGGGGGAGGGAGGCAACTAGAGGCAGTCTTGACCTTTGTGACCAAAGCTTCAGGCCGACATAATCCCGTTTTCTGTTCCTCTGGACACTTGCTTCTTGCCTGTGAGGTTTATAGCAAGGAAGTGTACAGGTGTGGGGGAGGGGGCACGGGTGTGGGGGGGGCACGGGTGGGGGGGGGTGATGCACGTGTGGTGCGTGCAGGGGGGGGGGGCGTGTGGTCAGCCTCATTCCAACACTCAAGACCAACCATTTTCTCGTAATATTTGTTTGTTTGTAGATAAGAGGCGGTGGTGGGTGTGGCTGGTTGACCTGCACTCCCCCCCCCACCCTCTCCCCGCCCCACCCTCTTGCACCCCCTCCCCCACCCGCCCCCACCCGCCTCTACCCCCCCCCCCTCACCACATGTGCCCACCTAACACCCAAATCTTAAGACGGTTAAGCTATGATGACTGGTAGAAGGAACTGGGCCTCACAGCCATTGAGGAGTGGCGAAAGAGATCGGGATATGATCACAACGTACATGATACCCACAGGAACAAACAATATATTGACAAGGACAATCTCTTTAAAATATGGCGAGAGGACTCGAGTGGAAACTGGAGGCTCAAATGAGTCCAAGAAATGAAAAGGAAAGTTCTCGTAGGTTTGTCCTGGCGGTCAAGAAGAGGCTACCTTACCTTGAGGCTACCTTGAGGTGCTTCCGGGGCTTAGTGTCCCCGCGGCCCGGTCGTCGACCAGGCCTCCTGGTTGCTGGACTGAGGCTACACCAGAGGAAGTTCTGGAAGCCTCCTCCAGCCACAACTTTAAGGCCAGAGTCCAGACAGTCACTGTTAGGGAAGTACCACCAGACCAACCTCCTCTCGTCCACTGTTCCATTATCTGCTTGATGCAACCATCTCAACCCCCCCCCCTTTGCCCAACCTCCTCCACCCCTTCCCACTCCACCAACCTGAGCCAACCCCCCCACCCTAAACGTCCACCCCCCACCGCCCACTCTACACCCCCCCCGCCCACTCCACACCCACCCTGTACACCCCCCCCCCCCCCCCCCCCGCCCACCGCCCACACAACAAGCCAACTTCACCACGGTCTTCGGCATTCCAAATCAATACATAAAACCCATAAAAAGTTGCAGAGCCCCATTGGTGCTGAATATGGCTTCCTCCCCCCCCCTCCCTGCCCACCCCCCCCTCTCTCTCTGTCTGTCTGTCTGTCTCTCTCTCTCTCTCTCTCTCTCTCTCTCTCTCTCTCTCTCTCTCTCTCTCTCTCTCTCTCTCTCTCTCTCTCTCTCTCTCTCTCTCTCTCTCTCTCTCTCTCTCTCTCTCTCTCTCTCTCTCTCACTGTGGGGGTGGTGGTGGGGGGGGGGGGGGGGGCAGACACGTGGTGCTGGACAAGACGGGAAGGATCAGATCATCTCAACACCAACCTTCTCTCTGTATTTATCTTCATCACTTGTGAACGAAGTCGAAGAACTAACTCTCAGAAGTTGTTGAGGTTCATATTTGATTGGTGCGTGTCGCTGAAGCTCTTGTCAGCATCTTCGGAGGCAGAGTGTCAAATGAATACATGTTGGGAGAGAACAGACTCTACTTAGGAAGGTCGAAGGTCTCCACTCTAGAGAGCACTAGCGTCTTGAAGAGTATCATCATCGGTATAGCAACTCTAGTGTGAAAAGTTCTTGTTATCCAACCTGTCATTTTTCTTGCAGTTGTGACGGCTACTTTATTGTGTTCTTTAAAGGTAAGATCTTCCGACATGAGTACACCCAGGTCCTTTACATTGACTTTTCGTTCTATGTTATGATTTGACTGAGTTTTGTACGTAGTTTCCGTTTTTATATTTTCATTTTTTTCCTTGGCGCATGAGCAGGAACTTATCTTCGTTAAAAACCATATTATATTATGGCTTTATTTATTTATACTTAATTTACACTATATATGATTTATATTATTAATATAATTTATATTATATATTATATATATTTATATTTATTTATATTTAAGGCTTTAAGCATTTTCAGGATTATCAGTAGAGTCACTTGCATTAATGTACTTTTTTCATTCGTGAAATATGAAATATTATATGCGGTATGAGGGGGAGGGGGGGGAGGAATATTTCATTCACTTCTATCATCGTGAATGATAACTTTGGCCTGACACACATGACCGCCTCTCTACCAACCACGCCACTGGTACTCACACTACGCAGTGGTAACAGGAGTACCTAACTGCTACCAAACTGAGACTTTAAGCCTTCCCTGGAGCACTATTATGGTATATTGTAACACGCTTCCCTTCCATTCATCTCAATCAATAAAGGAGAGTGTGTGTTTGTCTGGTCGAGGTTGGAGGCCAGGAGCTAGGGTCGAGCCTCACAATACTTGTCAGGGTGACTGGTGGGTGGAAGGGGGAGGCCATAGGCCGGTCGGGGTAGGCCTCCAAGCCCACCCTCCGTGTGAATGTAATCGTAAATGATTGTTTCTAATACCCCAATTACTTCACTCTATCCTGACTGACAGTGATCAAACTTATTGCTCCCTACATGGTCAGGGGCTTGACAGCTGAAGGGTCAGCGCTCGGGATTCGTAGTCCTAAGGTTTCGGGTTCGATTCCCGGTGGAGGCAGAAATAAATGGGCAGTTTCTTTCACCCTGATGCCCCTGTTACCTAGCAGTAAATAGGTACCTGGGAGTTAGACAGCTGCTACGGGCTGCTTCCTGGGAGATATGTAACAAAAAGGAGACCTGGTCTGGCCTCCAGACCAGGTTTGGTTTGGTGTTGTCTGCTTCCAGGTCTTTTTCTCTAGTCGTTACAGGGAGGAAGTTTCAGTTTATCATCTACTGTACTTTTGGTCTTCTGTCACCTGTTTCCATTTGCATCACCTTGCACTTTCTGGTTCTGAACTCTACTAACCATTTCTCAGTCCAACTCTGCAGACTGTCTCGGTTATCTTGGAGAATCTTTAAGGTCTCATCTGTCACAACTCTAATTTCCCATCGTCTGCAAACATCGACATATAAGACTCAACTCCTGAAGAAAGGTCATTTACATTGATGAGAAATAGAATGAGATCCAGCACTGATCCTAGAGACCCAGTTCGTAGAGACGTCTACGACAGTCCGACTTCTTAACCCTTACTGTCACTCTCTGACTCCTGTCTCTTAGGTAATTCCTTACACAAGTTATTGCTTTTCTGCTTACTTCCGCCTGCTCTTGTGAGTTTGTGTAGTGATCTCTTGTGAGTTACTGTGCCAAAGGCTTATTGGCTGTCCAGAAATACAGTCTCTGTCCTGCCTTATTTTAGTTACTTTGTCAAGGAACTCCAGTAGGTTTGTTAGACATGATTATGCTTCCCTTAAGTCATGTTGATAGTTTTTTACATGTCAAGTTATCTCGAGGTGTGTAACTAGTCTTTACCTGATTGTTGTTGTGAGTACTTTACAAGGCGGTGCTTGTGAATGTCAGTGGTCGGTAGTTAAGTGCTTCTTCTCTATCTCCTTTCTTATATATTGTTACCACATTGGCCTTCTTCCAGCAGCTGGGCAATTCTCCCTTTGTAAGTGACTCATTAAATATCATTGCCAGAGGTAAGCTGAGGGCCTGCGCTGCTTCTTTTAACATCCAGGGTGATATATTATCTGCTCCAACGGCTGTAGTCTCGTCCAGTGATGCTAATTGTTTTTTTTTACTTTTTGACCAATCCACACACTAGAAAATGAAGGGACGACGACGTTTCGGTCCGTCCTGGACCATTCTCAAGTCGATTGTCTTGAAACGTCGACGAAACGTCGTCGTCCCTTCACCTTCTAGTGTGTGGTCTGGTCAACATACTTCAGCCTCGTTATTGTGACTCATCGCCTGTTTTTTTACTTCTTCTGTTGTTACCGAAATATTGAACAGCGTCTCATCTTGGGTCGTCATCTCTCTCTTCTGAGACTAAGAGCCGCTCAGGCGCTGCTGTGAACGCCCTGGAAACTGGCGTTCACAACCTTGCAAATTTCCTAGTTACGTTCCGTATGGTCTCTG